GCAATAATCACTAGCCGTGGCAGACGATTACAGCAAAAAGTACGTATACCCATAAAATTAGAAAAAACGCGTTTGAACTAGGGTGTCGGAGGTGCCCCGGGGCATGCTCTCTAGTTTAGGCTTTTGCACCCTGGTGGTATGTGAGAGAATCGTGGAGTGTGTGGGTGGGTATGCATGTGTGTTTGCACTTTTTAAATACGGATAATTGGCGGGCAGGTAGCATACTTCTCTGAGCAAATGTGAATATTTTAATTTTAAGCAGGTAGGGCCCGGAAAAGGCATTAGGTTTGTTTCCACTCCGGAGTGGAAATGTGGCCTCCGGGTTTATACAGAATGGTTACAAAATTATATCATTTCATTCTATTATGCTTGCTTTGTAAATTTATTTTGTGACTCTTCTGTAATCTTTAATATGTATCATGAGATTCAAAGGAATTKGCAACAATTTGAAAGATATATTTCTATTTCGATTCTATCTCGAACGAGATAGAGTCGAACAAATTCGCAAATACTTTGATGAGTTTGATACTTAGTTTTAAGTATTAAATATTAGCACTTCGCACAATCGCGATTTCCTCAATTAGAAATATAACGAATGAATGAAATTAAAATATTGCAAGAAAATGCATAACATTTATTGCATTATTTATTTCAATTCTATTTTATTACTTGAAATTAAAAGTGCGACGTGTTATTAGGTCATTGATAATTATCTGCTTGGGCATTTGTTTAATTGTGCTCGTGTATATGTCAATGAACTCTAAGTTCATTGATGGTCCACGAGCTTGAATAACTAAAAGGGAAAATGTAAATTAATTTTCTAATAATCAAGAATTAGAATTATCAAATAAAATACGAGTGAACTTGCAATAAAAGTATGCGAGATCTTATCTTGCTTGCACGTAGAAAATGTCCAATGCAGTTTTCAGGTATGAAGAAAGAAGAGGCTAAATGCCGAAGAGGCTTATTGCCGAAGAGGCCCCCACAAATTTGTGGTATCAAGTGGGCAACTACTATTGAACTATTGAGGTATTTTCAAAAGTTCAACAATAAGTTTGAACTTTTTAAAAATAGCTCTTTAGTTATATTTTATATTCTATTATTTTATTTATTTGCTCGTCATTAATTTGTAATTGTAATTGGAGATGATGGACCATTCCATCTCCTTGGCACTTTAAATCTGTGTGCCATATTGTCCAAAAGGTGCATAAGTTTTTAGTTAGTTACAGTCAAAAATATTAAAATTCTCGTATTATTAAATTTTGAAGTTTGATTAACGTTCAATAAATATTACAGTAATTTCTTCTTTCTTATTTCGTCTTAAAAATTTGTTAATGTAATTGTATTTTATTAAATTTGCAATTTTTCTTTTYTATATTACGTATATATAGTTTAAAAGTATTTTATAATAATCAATAGATATCACTTTTATTAGTAACTTTTTTGTACTTTTCCTGTTTCTTAATTAATTATAATTTTTAATGTAAAATCACGCGCTTAAATCTAATTTTATTTTACAAACGGTTAATAGAGATTGGATAAAAATAAATAGGGAATTCAAATGAAAAGTGCATCTATAAATTGGACCACTCATATGTTAGGCTATTGTATCACTTGACTGTATGACTAATATAGTTTGCTTTYTGTTACAGGTGATCATCGTTGGATGTWRCAACAAATCTTCAAGATTTTGTTCTTTTTTAACGCACCTTAAATGATTGTTTTTTATAATATATGTATTATATAAATGCATTTCTGAAGGCACACACGTAAAAATATAAAATATGAATTTACCAAAGATTTTTAATATATTCATTAATKAAATTATTAACACGTTTATTAGTTGTTGTTTCAGCTCTACAACCTGAATGGATCTACCTTCTTCTGATAATAGTAATAGTAAGTTTTATTTTCATTTGTTTATATTATATCATTAACAAACGCGATATATAATTGCAAAAATATGTAATCAAAAAAAATCATATAGTCTTCTTATGTTCTATTGGTGATAGGAAAATATTTGAATAGCGAATTTAAAGAGTAGATATTTTTTAAATATACGAAATATCTAACATCAGGTAAACAGGTTTTTTAATCTATAGGAAGTGTGTTTAATTAGCCACGTTTCTGAGCAACGTACCACAAGCGCTGATGGAAATTAATTTAATAACTAGAACACGGGACGCGTTGTTTTTCAATATGAACATTTCCTTCCGATTTTGATTAACATTGCACGAATGGATGCAATTTTGGTGCTCGCACAGATGTCGTAGTTTTATTCAGTCGTTTCTTTTGTCGTAGTTTCTTTTATCGTAATAAACGTCATCATTGACTCTGACGAAAACCAAGTCACCGACAATTTATTGTGAAACGTATGAGCGAGCGCGAAGTAAAAACGAATATGCCAATCAATTCATCGTTTTTTTTTATTCGGATTCTCCTGAGCATGTTCGAAATAATTAAATTGGTTTAAACGGAAAAAAAAAAAATACTATTCTTCTTATTAGAAAAAAAAGAAAAATATTTCATACGTACATTTTATCTTGAACATTAGCATTAATATTATTAAAAGAAACAACAAAAATTATTCAAGTATTCGATACGAATTATGTTTAATAGTTAGAACAAAAATATTTATTTACATAGGCACATAACTTACAGAAGATATTTCTCGTATATATTTTTTATTTAGAATACTTTATATTTCAAAAATCATCACGAATCATTTCGATCCCTATATCTTATAGGTTTCTTGAAACCCGTATAAGATAAGGAAGATAGAGAAAATTGAATATCCACCGATGATTACGAGAAAACACTAAAGTCACGCGAGACTCTATATTAGAATTGAATCCGAATAAAAAAAATTGAATAATGAAATAATAAAAAAATTCAATGCAAGCAAATTAGATTGCATAATTAAACAAATTCATTATTAATAGATCTCGTATACACAAATTAACGACTTGGATCAATTCTTTAATACCATAAAAAGAAAAACAAAAAAAAAACAGAAGCATAGAAACGACTGTGCATAAAGCTACGAATATTTTTATATTCCCTTATCGATTCGAATAAAAATATTGATCATCGTTGATGACGAAAAGACAAGAACGTGAAAAAAAAAAGTATTAGATCGATGGGTCAGTTTATTTTTTTTGTATTTTCTCTTCCCATCATCATATGATCCAAAGCACAGATGTGACTTAATTTAATCGGCCATTTAATCGGTAGTTGGCACGGGTCGGTGGTCACTTCCGCTTCAACTGGGTCAACCTTCTTCCAGCACACAGTGTTCTCGTCCTTTGAACGTTTCCCTGTAGGAATTCTCCAAGGGAAGGAAACTCCTTATCTTCGAAGCTTCGAGTATGATTTTGATGCTACTGCGAATAGATATATACGTTTGCTATTAATTATTTACCTTTGTAATAGTTCCTATATCAAAAACATGACAATAACGTGCAATCCAATCTATCTAAATATATTTCAAATGAAATAAAAATAAAAGTATAATATAAAAAAAAGAAATTCGAGTATCATAATACCGTAACATCGCGGTAGCTAGCACGAATGCAATTTATGCACAAAAAAGTATTACAATATTATTATTCGAAAGAGAAAATTCATGTATCGAAGGAAATAGGAAAAGAAGAAAATCGGAGGTTCCCTAAAAAAAAAAAAACTATAAAAAGTTGACCTAAAGTATTTTCCAAACTTATCCTATATCACCCTACGTACCTTGAAGTAACGACGAAATGAGTTCTATGGGACGATGATGGTGATCTGTCGACGATGCGATTCTAAATTTGTCGTCACTCAATGAAAATCTCAAAAGAGTAGGCGTGAGATAAAAAGAGAGAGAGAGAGAGAGAGAGAGATAGGGATCTATGTGTACATATCTAGTGGGCAGAATAAGAGTAAGTGAGAGAGAATGAGTGAGGGAAAGAGAAAGGGGGGGAAAGAGAAAGACCTATATGGGTACATATCAAGTAGGCAGAATAAAAATAAGAGAAAAAAAGAAAGAGATAGAGACAGAAGGTAAGGTAAGGTGTGAAAGTGACGTTTTGTAGGGTCAAGGGAGGTCCTAGAGGGAATGACAGAGGGAATAGTCGAGGCGTGTATCGAAAGATAGGCGTTCTAAAGAGAGAGTGAACGAGTAAGAGAGAAAGAGAGAGAGTCAGAAGAGCTGTGTCGCGTCAACTCGAGTTTCCCGACTATAAAAGCTCTCCCCCAGGGCCGTCGACGTTACACGTCGTTAGTACTGCGAACGGTGAGGAACTCCGGCGACGTGCCACCTGTTAAAGCTGCCCCCCTTTTCATCCCCCTACTTTATAATCTTTGATAAAACTCGAAGAATATAATTACGAAAAGTCCAATAAATTATTTCTTTTTTTTTCAATTCTTTTTCTCTTAATCCGTTCGTCGTCTACTATTTATTCATCTGCGGGAAGATATCCACTTATATTTATCTTCATTTTATCTTACAATTTTCGGTGATATCCATTATTCGTTGTCCCGTTTCGAACTTTAAAGTTCGAAGTGGAGAACGCGTAAAAAAACGTGTCTCAGAGAGTTTTGATCGAAGAATAAATAAATAGAAAAAGTATAAGAAGGAAAGGATTTAAAAGTACTACTGGGATTGAGGAAATCCTTTTGAATCGAAATTCTGGAAAATCTGGTTCTTCTTTTACCCCTTCGGTCTATTCTGAAATCTACTACAAAGGAAAGAAAAGAGTTCTCTTTTACTTTCTGAGGAAAGTTAAAAAAAAAAAAAAGGAAATTGGACGTTCATCGACAAGTGAGTAAAAAAGTGTCTTCTTCATCCTATTCTTCTTATCCTCTTTATCTTCATTTCCGTGAACAAATCGAATTATTATTTAATTGTCCCAAAAATTTATTTTAATAATCGATCACAAAATTGAAATATAGTGTTCGATGAATTTTCTCGTAAATTGTTAGAATTTTTATAGGTTAATTATTTGTCGCGATTACAATACAAAATACGAGCACGTGCGATTCTCAAATATCGGATTATTTTAATACGATCGTTGTCAAATTTTCTCACTCGTTTCGATTTAATAACAATAATTCACGAATTTCTAATCTCAGTACTCTGTATCTCGAATTCTCGAAATAATTCTACTCTAATCAATGAGACAACGTGACTAATTTTCATCGGTTCCTCCAAGTTCCCCTTATCCCCTTAATATCCATCCCTATTTTGGTCGATTATGCGAAGATAGGGGATTGTAATTAACCATAAAATCGTTTATTCGTTTGACGTAACACGCTTCTTGATAACAAAATTAGATTATCAAAGTTTCTCTTCCTCTCTCTCTCTCTCTCTCTCCTCCTCTCGTTTTCTCTTTCTTACTTACGTGTTTTAAGACGGATAACTTTAAATTGTAAAAAAAAAGAAAATTTATTTATTTATACCAAGTTTAATCCAATTAGTTAAAAACCAACATCTCGATGTTTTCGTTAATGAATGTGTTGTCATCTCCCATAAGCGCATTAATAACGCTAGCATTAACCCTAAAGCATCGTGAATTATATCAGAAGCCCGCAGGCTTCTTTACAGTGTGCCCATGGAAATCATATCGCTTAAAACTTCTCGGTTAGTGTTGTCATCGTGATTGTTCATCATCATCAACAACCTACACACCCCAATAAAACAATTTACATTATCTCTTTCCCATCGCATACATTTCCAACCCTAATTACAAGTTAATTAAATCAAAGTTACCGGCTAAACAATTTTTAATTGAAAAATTAAGAAACTTCGAAAAAATGCTAATTAGGTTAACAGTAAAGTGTAGGGAAAATCGTTTGTGAAAACAGGGTAGAAAGAAAAAAAAAGATAAAAAATAGAGGATAAAGAAAAGAGAACGTTTATCATGCACGTATCGTCCTAAACCAATTGGATTCGGATTTGTGGGACTTTTCTACTCAAGATTATGACTCCCTATGGAAGTATTATGTATATTGGACCTCTTTCTCTCCCTTTTTGTTTCTTTTTTTCTTTCTTTTTGTTTGTCCTTTTTATACATTCTATACATCGTGCAGTGATTTATCCCACGATCCCTGTTACGTTCTGTTTCATCCGGTGACATCTCGCTAAAACTTTTCGTCGAATCGATTATTTTGCATTCAAAGGTATGCACCTGTACAAATACGTCATACGTTTTTCGTAGTACCTTAAGCATCGTTACGACTCGTGTTAGTTATTCGTATTCAAACGACTATCCTAGATCTTTTTCGATTTTTCCAAAAAGTACAAATCATAATACGAAGAATAGTATAACGATAGAAATAGTTAGTTATTTCGTATTGTCAATTAAAAGTATTTTAAAATTACATTGCAAAAAAATAATCTCACACAACAAGCATTTCGAGGAAATTGATAGAAAAAAAAAACTTAGATGAAGAAAAAAGAAAATAAGATGAAAGGATTGGACGGAAATAATTTGCGGGAAGGGATAAGAAAAAATGCTATGGGAAAAGTTTTCTCGAAAATGAAATGCTCTATTAACGCGAAATTTCTTTCAAGATTTAAAACTCGACGAATGTCGATTGGATATATGTAGTATTATGCACGCAAACATAGACGATCATCATCAACGTTTTAGAATAGAACTTTCCTCTTTCTCTCTCTCTCTCTCTCTTTTTCTCTCTCTCGAAAGTTTCAAGTGTTTGTAGATCGATTTTCTATCGTCAAAGGCGGGAACGAATCTGTCAAAGATAGGCAGACACAGGAACGATTGTTCCACCTTTCACAATGAGCCTATACTTAACTATTATACAAGTCGGTATAACAAAATCAAAGTTATTGTTAGTTATTCATATACTAGTATTTTAGTTTCACTATTGCATATACACTGTCTCTCTCTCTCTGATACACATACACACACACAAATACTTTCCCTTCCTCTCATAATCTCTCTTACTTTCTCTCTTTCTTTCATTATCCCATTGTCTCTCTCTCTCTCTCATTCATTTTCTCTTTTTCTATCTCTGAATCTCTCATTGCCTCTCTCACTCATTCACATTCATTTTCTTTCTCACTCATTCTTACATTGTCCGACTGCATCTTTCTTCGTCTTTTAATTTCGATCCTTAGTTTTCTCTCTCACTTTCTTCCTATCTTTAAATTTTCATCGTACCATCTTTCTCTCACGAAATGAATCTTTTTACCTTTACTACGCGTTCTTTTAATTTCAAATCGTTTTTTTTTTCTCTTCCTCTTTTTATCTCATACTTTCGTATAGAGATTATTATTACTTTATATTTTCTTTTTTTCTTTCACGCATTAATAAGTTTAAAAAATCGTATATCTACCCGGATAAATGTTTATTTCATTCATTCGTGAAAACGTCAAAGAACATATTAAATCTTACGTTGAAAAATACTTAATCAATTCTTACGAGAGTATGTAATGTATTTTATTATTCATATTTCTTTTTTGTTTATTTATTTATTTTTATTTCTCTGTGTTGCATAGAAAGAGATCAGTCGAAGTGAATAGAAAGATATTAATAATTATTGCAAACGCGATAAGTTTGGAAAATTTTACGAAAGTTAGTAAAATGAATAAAAGGGAACATTAATTAAAATATGACAAAATTTAAACTGAGACAGAATTGATTTTTCTTGGCTTTAATTTCGACGTGTTGAATCGATTATTTTTATATATATATTTTTTTTTTTTTATCAAAAATATAAAAAAGAATAAGAAAAACCGTGTAAAGTTAATAGCAAACGTATAGAGTCTCTCGACGCTATTAAAAAATATGAAACAATCTGTAAATTCGGATTACCTTGTTCCTAATCTAATTGGTCATCAATTGGAAACCAACCGGTATATACGCGGTCTCTTATAATATATAAGAATTTTATTTTTTCTCACGTGTGGTCTGTGGACGACCTTGCTTGATACCAAAATATGTCTTACGATGCAAGGAGAGACAGAAAAAGAATCCGTGCTGGCGATAAAACGGTGATAAAATGTAAAATTAGCATTTAACAATTAAAAAGAAAAGGAATCGAAAGAGAGTAGTACGTCCGCGCATTAACGAAAGAAAGAAAGAAATAAATAAAGAGAAAGATAGAGATGGAAAATGTTATCGTATTGGAACCGTGGCGCCAGAAATGAACTGAAATCACTATCAGACGTCGTTCATCTTTCTGAACACGTTATGTTTCTTTTCACGCAACCCAGACGCAACATTTCGTCTCATCATGCCACGACCATGATCCCGATAAAGAAAGACTTCGACGGGAGGACAGAAAGAACGTTCTAACTTCTATCTTTATTTTTCTTTCTAAATCCATTTTTTTCTCTATATTTCGGCAGCTTAGTGGACGTCAAGTGTTTACGTGTGTACGTGTCTATTATAAAAATTTGATATTTTATTTTATTTGTTTTATCTGCCATCAATTTTTGGGGTAAGTCTTGTCGGATTAGAATTGTATATTGATTTCATTAAATTTTCCTAATTTAATTCAAATAAATTATATACCCATTTATTGATTTATGCCTGGCATCTTTATTTCGGATAAATCTAATCGATTAGAATAATTCTTTGATCTTATTGAAACCAATACGGTTAAGTCAATATTTTTCTTATTAATTTTTTAATTATTAAAAGAGATTTATACTCGTTGCTTTTTTTAAGTTGCCATAATGTGAGTATTAAAGTTTTTCAAGATGTTACCGTTGTTCCAATTAATAATACTTACGTTTTTATTTGCACATCTTGTTACATACGACAGGATGCAATGCAGGCGATTGCATTCTTCCAAGAATTAGCATAATGCTACAAACATAAATTATAGTCTTTCCTTTTTTTCTTTTCTTTTCTTTTCTTTCATAGGACACGTTAAAACTCTTATTACCTTTTAAGAGAAAATTTTTTTTTCCCATGGCAGATAAAACATCTAACCTTCTCTAACCGACGAGATAAAAGTTTATCGTTTGTCTTAAGAAAATGTTAAAGAATAGCTTCGGAACGTCCACAAATCTGACCAACAACTCAGAAAGCTCACTTTTTCTCGTTAACATTTTACAACCCCTTCTATGTTACTTTCCATTCACATACTCATTTATCTTTAGTATTTTCGCATTTTATTTTATTCTTTTTCCCTATTACGATTAATTTTTAATCCCTTTTTCACGAGGAATTTAGTTTTCACTAGTGACACTTTATTTAGTTAATAAAACGTAGCAAGTATACATTTACGTGTGTAGATCTATGTAGAAAAATATCTAAAGATAATAAAATTCGATCAAAAATAACTTAAGACAAAATAATTCATTCTTTGTCAATAATTAAATGTTACAAGCTTCGTATAGAATTATTTTGATTCTATTATAGTTTTTCGTATACGAATCACGAATTTATTTTTATGCAGTTTTTCCACTTGTCGGATGAGTTTGACGATAGCTCGTCACCGAAATTAAATTCAATTGAAACTAATAAAATAATAGAACGCGTAACGTGCGACATGTCATGTACAATTTGTTAATCAACATGTGTATAATGAATATCGTAGAAAAAAGAAAAAGAAGAAGTTTGATTGTCGAGTTTAAACGAACGTAATAAAATCCTTTTAAAATTTAATTAAAATTTCGAGTCTTCGGGTAAATCGGGAAAAAAAATGTCGACAGATTTACATTACAATTCAAGAGTATCGATTTCAGACTGAATTCACACACATACCTAAGAGTAAAAAAGTTATGACTAAATTAATTTACGCGAAAAATAATATTTGCAAGTTCGTTAAACGGATAAACATTAA